AGGCGTCTATCCTTATATTCTATGGTCAGATAGGTCACTCAAACTTTATTAACAAATTCGCGTTCTGACAACTATCCCAGCATGCACTGCGCGCTTCTTCTTCTATGGGCAAAAATAAAGTCGGCGGCTGCTTACCGTAGTTGCTAGACCTGTTGTGGTTCAATATTGGTCCATATATAAGGCGCACTGTCGACTTTTGAGGAAATTGAAGGGTTTTAGGTGCACCTTATAGTGCGGAAAATACGGTATGTTATTGTTGTTCATGTAAAGCACTTTGGTGCAGTTTTACATCTGTTTTTAAAGTGCTATATAAATAAACTTGACTAATAATTTATTATAATGAATTGCATTATTATTGTTTCTTATTATTACTTTATTTATTTTTTATTTTTATAACATGCTATGGGCAGAGGATAACAACCCCCCCTTAGGGGATCAATAAAGTATCCTTGATCAGATCAGTATTGTCTTATTATTATGCCATTGCCATTACATTACTTGGAAATGGTCTCAAAACAACTATTTACGTAATCGTTTATCGCAATAACTTCTGGGGTAATTTACCATCTAGCTAAACTTGCTGCCATGACAGGCCTATGCACCTGTGATAGTAGCAGCTGTAATGTCACTGAACAGTGCACAGTACAAGTTAAAGATGTTCTAGTGGTGACTGCAGCCCAACGTAGAGTGAATCTGACAAACACCTGAATCTAAACAGCCTTTTTTAAGTTCAACCACAAATTCTCTGGACTTGGACTGGGCCCCTTCTTCAGAGACCACCTGCTATGCTAACTCCCTCATCTGCTGCCTGACTGCTTGTACATCATCTTGTTTGCCTCTGCAGGTGACTGCCTGTTGGACCAGCCTCAGAAGCAGCTCACCCTTCAGGACAGCCTGCCTGGCTCCAGCTATAGGCTGCACCGTCAGTGTGAGTTGGCCTTCGGTTCGGGCTCCAAACCCTGCCCATACATGCAGCCATGCGCTAAGCTGTGGTGCACCGGGAACGCTCGTGGGCAGCAGGTCTGTCAGACCCGACACTTTCCCTGGGCTGACGGTACCAGCTGCGTTTACGGCAAAGTCTGCTACAGAGGCGCCTGTGTTGACAAGCGTAGCACAATGAACGTCAAGGTGAGACAGGGAAATAAAGCGCTGCTCTGTCTAAGATGAACATGTTTATCATTGACCAGTGAAGCATGGTCTTCCTTTTGACTAAGGTGGATGGCCGGTGGGGTAAGTGGGGTGGATTTGGAGACTGCTCCAGAAGTTGTGGTGGAGGTGTTCAGCTGGCCAGGAGAGAGTGTGACAATCCAGTCCCTGAGAATGGTGGGAAATACTGCTATGGCCTTCGCATCAAATACCGCTCATGTAACCTCAATGCTTGTCCTGAAACAGGTAAGCTCAATTCCAGGTATACTGAAACTCAATAGGTTGGCTCATTCCTTAAAGGGGCAGTCTTATGTAAAACTAACTTTTTTGAGTTTTAAACCATGTTATAACGTTATTCCCGCATCAACTACATACCTGGTGTTGCCTTAACATCATTAGTTTATTTTGCTATAAAATGCCACTGTGGCTGGAAACCCCTTTAAAAGACTTGCATATTCAGAAAGTGTACCTTCTTTCCATTCTAGGGTTTCATGTATCAGGGCATAATGAAAAAGACATTTGAAAATAATTTCAGCCTGGTCAGAAGTGTTCACACCACTCCATCAGCATTTCTTAAAGTAACATAACACCAAAATAGAAAATCTATAAGCACACCGCCTGTTGCTTTGATGGGATTTTAGAGGACAACTCAAGATGAAGTGATGCACTTGAATAATTGATAATTGATAATAACTGTAACCACCTGTATCACAGGTTTAGGCAGTTTACTGGCCTTACAGTTATGAGATGGAAAGACATCTGCAATCACCTTTATGAAGCAACTGTTGCCATTTTATCTGGGAAGAGTTACAGGTCATTTCTGTAATGGTCATTATTTATTTTTATTATCATTTGTTTATCAAGAAATTACATAAAGTTGTTCACATATATTCACTTTGCATAATTTCCATAACTTCACCAAGCTTTTTTAAAAAATGTGAAAACCCGCACAGGGATAAGAGAAGAAAGATGGAAATAATAAAAAAAAGGAAAAGAAGAAAAAAAGGATTGGGAGCAGCAAGGCGGGATAAACTAATGAGAATATTTTACCTGTCTTTTTTAATTTGAGGCCTGTTTATTCTATGTTGCCCTGCAACAGACTGGCAACTTGTCCAGGGTGACCCTGTCTCTCACCCGAAGCACCATCACCCCTCCTGACCCCACTAGGGACAAGGGTGTTAGAAAATGGACGGATGTTAGTAAACTCTATTTTGATTTATATTCAAGTTTTAATTGTAATGTTTTTATGTGATGCTGTGAAGAGGTACTAGCCCTCTTTCAAATTTGTTCAGGTTCTGCTGTTTTTCAGTGTTCCCTCTTGTTTTAGAATTAAGAAATGTAATCTTGGTGCCATCTGGATTTGTAACTTTTGTCCTATCTGAAAATTGTCAGAAAAACATTGTAGAACCCATGTCAGGCTCTGCTTGTGTTGGATGCAGATCTCAAATCCATTCCAAACAGTCTTTTTGTAAATGTTAACCACAGTGTCTCTACTGATGCAGAAACATGTTCTTTGTTAGTTTTATTTCATCTTAGCAACACCCTTGATACTGTCAACCACTCAACTTTGTTATTTTGGTTAAAGGTTCTTGCTGGTACATCTGGCTCTGCATTGGACTGGTTTGGTGATTTTTCTCAGACACTCCACAGAGACACATAAATATAATTTTATCAATCAAATTAATGCAATTTTTGCCTGTAGACTGTCAAATCGCATTAATGTGAAGATATATTCAATATTATTTAAACTTCAAAAGTACTTTTTGAATATTTTAGCAGTTTGTTAATGGGGAGTTTTACCAATTCTCTTAAGGCAAAGTTAAGCAATATTCATGAAAGCATCAGGCCCATCTTTATCTATGTTGTTTGTAAAATCTGCCCTGGTTCATCTGATTACATAGATTAAGTTTTTAGTTGATGCAAAAATTTTGTGCATTTTTTGTTTATTTTTCTTACTCCAGGCAAACGTTTCCGCGAGGAGCAGTGTGAGGCATTCAATGGCTTAAACCTGAACACCAGCAGACTGGGATCCAGTGTGGTTTGGATCCCTAAATATTCCGGCATCTCTCCTAAGGATAAATGCAAGCTTATCTGCCGGGCCAATGGAACTGGATACTTCTCTGTTCTTTCACCAAAGGTCTGCCCACAGCCATTCAAACATTTGGCCCAGGAAGGCTCACCGTTTGATTGTATCTCCTTCATATAAATACTCCAGTTCTCATTTTTGTCAACAAGCCATTCATAAAATTCCAGGTTTTTGAGACTTATGAAAATGTGTCATATATATTGGGACTAGCCATGAAAATTAACAAATAAAAAACAGTGAAAAACTCTGTTTGGAGAAAAAAGGGTAAACATACAAAACATAAGTTTTGCATAAGTGCACATTTTGCTATGTCTGGAGTATTTATATCCATCTACTCTGACCTTTTAGCCTACCTGGTAAAACTCTACCAGATTATGAAGACATTTCCTGACCGCAGCTCTCAGATGATTTTCCTCTGTTTTGTGTTGGATTTCTCTGGCTAGGAAGATCCAGATGTGATATTTTTTTCTGGTGATGCCATTATTTTGGTAATTTGGATTCATTGTAATGTTCGAAGTTAAATCTCACTTCATCCTGAACTTTCTGGCATACACATTAAAGATTTGAATCAAAACCAAAAACTAACCACAGAGCATGATGCTGCCACCATCATGTTTCACTGTAGGCATAGTGTTCTTTTGATGCTGCTTCTGGGTCAAACATACCTTTTGCAAGGTATGTTTGACCCACTGGTGAGACCAACTTTTAGTCTGGTCTCACCAGACACATTCTCCAGCAAAGGTTAGTGAAAGTTTTGTCAAACCTGGTGGTTTTCTTTGGAAAGTCTTCTGTCTTCAACCCCACTTCTTAAGTCTAGGCCAGGTTGCTGCTAGGTCTGCAGCATATGGCTTCAAAGCCACAATTGGCTCTTTGGACGCTCAGCGATGACGCTTAATAACTTTGGCTGAAACACTATTATTTTTCTTTTAATATGTAATGTGTTGTTCGTTACACTCAGAAACTCA